CCACCACACAAGTGGTTGGGATCCCCCAGTGTAAGTCCACATCTGCTCTTCTGCACAGTGAAACTCAAGGCTAGCAGCCGAATGTGTTGCCTGGCAAAGGCAGCGCACGACGTCCTCCTTTGCAGCCTGTCACCAATGGCTCTGTGTGCACTTGGCAGCGGTACCTCCGTGGGCAGCACAGCCAGGGCCTTTGTTCTCTTGCCAAGGTCTGTGGATGTGATTCAAGATGCCATTTAAAAAGGAAATCAGTTGTCTTGATTCTAAAAATGGCCAATGTTATCTGCCCTTCCAAAGGGACCTAGGAGGGATTTTTCTTGCTTGGGTTCAGATCTGAAGACAATAATTAAGCCCCTTACCCAAGCATCTGATTTTTAGCATGTGGGAAGGAAAGATCTTTGGATTTTTCACTTGTCAGACTAAAAGATTTCTATGCCAATCTAATCACGTTTATGATGTTCTCTTAAAACCTGGGTTCCACTGTAAATCAAATCTAACCAACCCTAAAGCCCAACCCAGCCCGTTACTGTTTTCTTTTCTCACTATTCCTATCCTGAAGCATTAGCTCTTGGATGGGTCTCTTCCTGCAGCAGTCAAACAGGGCTATGGCCATCTCAGTCTGGATCGATGGATGGCAGCTGCTGCACTTGCCAAGAACACTGATGTGTGTGTGGGCTCGTGGCCATCACTTACCTAAACCAGTGAGAAATGGCAAGTGTACGTGTAAGAAGTTGCTAAACTGTTTTTTGTTTTTTTTTTACCAGAATCTATTTCATACACTGGTCTGTTCCCTTCTCCCCCGTTGATACGGCTGCTGACCATGTGGAGGGTTTGTGTGTATGTGCGAGCAGAAATGAACAGGGAACAGGTCCTGCTCCCCTCAGAAAAGGGTTTCTGCCATGGCAAGGAAAGGAGCAGCTGCCTGCTTCCTTACAAACACTCTTCTTCCCTTTTTTGGGTTGATAGAAAAAGAATGGGGTAGTAAAGGTAAGTCTGATACTTACATGTCCTTGATCAAGCCTCAATACTGGTGTACAGCTGTTAGGAGACTCCAGGAAAATAATAAACAAGATCACGTGGCTTAAAATAACGTCATTTTGATTTTCCTTGGGTCGCAGCGTGTTGCTCTGACGCCACAAGTACTTCAGTGTGTTGTGGTTTTGGGAAACCAGGAAGAATGCCTTTATTTCCTGCTTTCTCTTCAAGCGCTGATACTGTTTCAATTGACTGCTCCTTTTCTGCTGACCTCTGCGGTTGTGAGAACCTTAAAAACAAACAAACAAAAAAGCCCCACAAAGTTAGCAGAAGGTGTAACTCCTCTGTGAAAGTGTCTGCTACAGGAGCTGGTACTGGTGGGCCTGAGTGCCCTCTGGGGCCTCACGGGGTAGATTCTACGCATGGTTCAATTCCACAAGCACGGTCATCAGAAATACATAGCACCACCAGGCTGCTTGTGGGTGACTCACTACCCAGGCTCTCAAGCAACCAGCAATCCCAAACCCTTGCTACATTAATTACACTTCAGTTACGCTAATTTTTAATGTTTCGTGCACTTTGTGTCTCTGGTGCATTTATCTACGTCAGAATTGGTTGGGTGATGTTTTCCTCGTTCCTACAGAGGAGCAGGCAAGCAGAGGATGGCTGCCTGGAGCTGCACAGCTGGCAGGTTAGTGTAAGACTCCTACTCAGCCTCCCAGATCGTGCTGTCTAGCTAGCTCTTGGTTTTTTGACTTTTAGATTATCAAATTTGGATTTTAAATGCTCCCTCGAAGCTGTTACATACCAGATTGGACTTTTTTAGAGGTAAACAGAGACTGGGGATAAAAGAGATGAAAAGCAAGATGGTTATGAGTGCATGAGAACTCCCACAGGACACGCGATTGCGTTTCAGCAGCTTGAAAATAGGCTTATGTGGGACAAATCCTCCTCCTGCAGGCAAACTGTGGCACCTGTCTGTGGCAAAGCTGATCTTGTCAGCAATTGGTTCTAATGTCACTCCTTTGGTGTGAGCGTATGCTGGAGTTCTGGTTGGAGTAAACAGGCTGCCGGTGCCTCTGGTTAGCAAACACACCTGCTACAGGTTGGTCTGCATTTTTTCTGCACAAGTGTGTGTGGCTTGGCAAGGGTGGGCCCAAAGGCAAACCACAACTATGTCTTCAGCATCCAGATTGCTATTGAAGACAGGCAAATTAATGCCAGCTGATGTGAGACAACAAAGGGATGTCTTCCTCTTCCTTACTACTACTTTATGCTATAGTAGCTTCCCCTGCTGCTTTTTTTCCTACTCCCATGTCTCTTCTGAGACAGCAGCTCAACCTGCCTGACTCCTCCTGCTCCACCACTGATTGCATCTTCTCCTGCTCATCCTCTTGCAAAAATAGCAAGTGTAGATGGCTCTAACTTGAGCAGGAAAAGCATTTTCCTGGTGCTAACATGACACTGGCTGTGTGACTACCTCTCATCTGTCAGTCTTGCTGCTGGGTGGTGACTTTGTGGGTGTGCTGGTGGGAACTCTTTGGCCTGAGTGTTCCTGCAGGTCTCCTGTATCTCTGTGGAGACCCCAGCTGATGTAAAGCTGCTTCAGTTTCTTTTTGAATACTAGAACTGGATCTCGGTTTTCTGAAGGACAGCATAATTCCTTAAAAAAAAAATATAAACAAATACCAACCCCAAACTCCCTACTTTTAAAGATCTTAATGTGAGTAGACACCACGCATTGACTCATGCTTGGGCAGTAACTCTTGCTTAACCATATTCCTGTTGGGTGGCAGCAGCAATGAGCTGAGAAATGACTGTACTGTCTGCACACATTCTCACTCAGTTGAGATCCAAGGCTCCATCCCACCCAGCAGTGAATCCTGCTGGCCCCTGCAAAGCACCTTTTTCTCTGCAGTCTCCACTCCCATAGGTTGATGCCCAGCTCAGCTATTTGTGCAGCCTGGCTCAGTCCCATCTACCCAAGCACCTAAAAAATGTGTTTTAGAGCAGGAGCCCGTCTCAGCACGCTAGTGAGGGGGCTCTTGTTTCTCAGGAGCTTTGGAGACATGGTCTGTAGCCGACCGTACTGTTTGTTGTCTGTGTCTGAACCAAGGCGCAAGCGGGCACGGTGGGATGTAGGTGCTGCTCAGCCCTGCCGCCATGGGCGGGTGCTGTGGAAGGATGTGCACTGCCACTGGATGTCACTGTCGCCTTATGGTACTGGGTGCACTGGGAAGAGGCTGGGGGTGGCGATGGTCCCTCTGCTCAACGTCCTAAGAATGGTGGGGTGGTACCAGGGAGCCAGGTGGGCAGCAGCCACCTGGACTGCGCATCCGTCTAGGCTGTCTTGGGGAAAAATCACAGTTTTGTTGCCGGTGGTTGTGCTGTTTCACTTCAGAAGTTTTCTGGTTCTATTTTAAAAAAAAAAAGTCTCCACCTAGAGATCTTAATTCTTTACTCTCAGACTGAAACACGGGGCTGATCTCTACAGTTCTCAGCAGTGTAGAGGAGCTGGCAGATTGCAAAGGAAAATGATGCTCTGTTGTAGTTCTAAGCTGAGAAGTGTGTTTGGTCTGGTATTTTTCAGTATATTTAGAAACAGAGAGTTGGGACCGGTGTTTAAATTCAAATTTGGTGGTTTTAAATAATAATTTAAAGAAGCCTGAAAGCCTAAACGTCAGGGAAGGGGACATGGGTGTTTGATTTTAAGATGTCTGGTGAGCAAGTCATCTCAGCTTTGACAAAACTCACAAAAACATCAAATTGTCATGCTGACAACCTCCATCACTTACTAATTACATATTGATTCTGCATTTTTATGCTCACTCATCTAAGTAACAAACTTTCCAAATAATCTATTTCTGTTGCATGGAGCATGCCGGTCCCCCCCCCGGATCTGCAGCCTGTTGTTTATGCTCTAGCAGGGAGCTGACTGCTGTTCCCTTCCCACAAAGGGCAAAGATGCTTATTTTTTCTCCCACTTGTCTTGTATAACAAAAGGCATTTGTCACCCGTTACATAACGGCAGAATTTGTCGCTTCTTCTGTTGGCCTGTTCGGAGGCAGCCTCGCACCCAACGCCGTGCAGCCGCAGCCAGCAGGCTCTTGTTGCTGGCTGCAGGGTGGTGCATGCTCCTCAGCACATGCCCCTGCGTCCTGATAGCGCAGGACGCAGCGTGGCTAATGCTTGTCACTCACCGTTTGGGTTTTTTCCTTTTTTTAAAAAATTTTTGGTTTTTTTTTTTTCAATTCCCTCCTTGGAAAATAAGATGTGGAGTTGTGTGTCTTGGTTGTGGATTTTATTTAGGAGAGCCAGAGGATGGGAAGGTGTTTGGGGGTGTTATTTGCTTTTTAATGTGTGTTCTGTGGTGGCAATGGGGAGCTACCCTTAGCCATGCGCCCAGCGAGAGCAGCAGGGCTTGTCCTGAGCCGAGGTCGTGTCCTGAGCTTGGCCAAGGCTCTGAGCAGTGAGCTCCATTCACCCTCTGCAGTGCTCGCAAGTTTCAGGGAGCAGGAAAGCCTGTCACCGCCTGCCTCCTGGGGCTGCCAGTTGCTTTCTTTTAATATCTTCCAATTAATCTCAAGTGTCTCACACCAGCAAGAGGAGTTTGTGTTTTGATTTTTTTACTTTACGATCAGTTTGATTTCCTCATTGCTGGAATATCTTTTTAGAGCCTTAAAAATAAATAAATGGTTTAACTTTCCTGTAAACTGAAAACAAAAACCACACGGCCAGTTTCCCCCTTTCTCTGTGACTGGAAAGGAGAGAGCTGTTTACCTGCAGCCTCAAACTTATTTATGGCCTTATCACTGCCAGCTATCAGATGACCGCAGCTCCCTTTTTAAAGCAAAGCAAGCAGTGCTCCTGTAACCCAACAAGGTCTTGCCTGCTGCTGTTTTCTAATTTACTCAAAACAATTTGCTAGTTGACTCTCCCTTTTTTTTTGTTTTGTGTTGTTTATTTTTTTAAGTTGTAGATATGCTTTTAATTTTTCAAAAAGAAACTTCTTAAAGTATATGTTTCTTATGGACCTTTGAACTTCCTGGTGTACTCAGCCTTTGCTCAGGAGATACATTTATGGTTGGCTATAAGCGTGTTTAAATGGGTTAACCCTTCAGAGTTTGTGTTCTTAAGGAAACTGTTTGTTATGGTTTCCCTGTGTAGCTGAGGCTCAGGCACAGAAATGAGCTTTGGCAAGCACTGGCTTTACCTGGACTAGTTGCCTGTTTCAAAGTTAACTCTTACATCAGCAGATAAAACTATGGATTAGATTTGGTCTGCAAAGCATGATTGGAAACATGGAATCAGCAAACAGGTCCAAAAATTGTAAACCACCTGGACACCAGCTCAGCTTCCCAGAGCCAGCGAGGGCAAGCTACTGGCAGCCCCAATAGCTCAGTGCCAACATTATGGTAGGAACTGGCAATATCAGAAGGATTCATGGCCTTTTGATAAACAGACTTCTCGGTAGCAGACTTCTCTTTTGACATGCATCAACCCGTGTATGCTGCATGGTATAGTTACCCCCTAGAAGTTAGCACAGCAGGAACATCTTACAGGGTATTAACTTTTCTGTTTGCTTACCAGAAACTTATCCATTTGGTTTTGCTTGATGTATTTGTACAGCTTCTGCAGCTGCTTTGCATCCATCTCTGAGAAAAGGGAGACAAACTGCCAGAACATCCTTGGGAAGAGGAAGACAAGTGAATTGTGCATGTGAGTACAAACTTCATCCTCCCCCATATACTGTACCCTACTTCTGGCTTGGCGAGTGTAACCACTGGCATATACTTTTGCACAGTGTTTTTATTTCCCCTCCTTTTCTTTTTGTTTTTCTTTCCCCCACTTTTCTTTTTGCTTTTCTCAGCCCCCCTCCCCCCGGCTTATAAACTTTTCAAAAACTGCTCTTCCCTAAGCACGGAAAGTATTATCTGTTATTTCAGGTGGCCATGTAGGAGCCACTTTACTTGCAAGGTGATGTTACTGATTCCAGTGCCTGGAAATGTAGGGCCAAAGCGCGTGTCTAAATGCCTGCTGGGAGCAGCAGAGGCAGGAGCCTGTCACACCAGGAGCATCACTGGGTGCCAGGTAAGAGGAAACATTTACTTTTGCCAGTGCTGGACGTCAGAGGCTCTGCAGTACTGCTGGAGAAACTGATCAATGCGGCCCCCAATTACAGTCAAACTTTTCTTCATGCGCTTCATTTTTTTCTTTGTGAGGAGGTCCTGGGGCAAATGCAGATTCCTAAGTGACTTCTTAAAGGGTCTCAAAAGCTCCTTGCACTGTAAAGAAAAAGTGTTGGTGTTAGGTGTTCTGCGCTTCAAATCCAGGTCTCAAGCATTCATTTTCACTAAATAAATTCATTAAATAGCTGGCTGGGAAAGCACTGAAGGAGTGCTGTGTTTTGGTGAGTGGATGTGGGGGAGCTGACATGGGTCTTCAG